GCCTCTCCAGCTCTCCATTGCTGGCCCTTGTTGGAAGATCGTCTCTGTCGCTTTCTTGTTGTTGGTTCTGTGTAACTCTGTTCACAGAACATGGCCTAGACTTAAGTGATTTTCGACGTTGTACTGAGGTTGTGTCTCATAGACACACTGAGAAACTCAGGTCCTGAGCTGTAGCTTCTGACCTAATTTGTACTGGTATGTGTGTACTGTCACAGTCGGGGATTTTCTAATGCTGAACTTAGATTCAGTAGTAAGGGAGTTTTGTGATTTTTGTGGAGGATCTGCAGATGGTCCCTACTTAATGTCGTTATATTATCTCCTTGTTCCTGATTCTGTGTCGCTGTTGCTTGTTATATTACTGTTCGGCTTATCAGTCATTTTATTGTTCAAGCAAGCTGTTCTGATTGCCAGGTTGGTCAAGAAGTTAGTTTGTGAGGACTTTTAGTCAGTCACTGGTTAAGTCTAGTCGAGTCTTGAGACATAGCGAACTACTTAGAGCACTTACACACAAACTTCTTTCTTTCAACACACTGGCTGTATCCCACCGAGGCGGGGTGGCCCAAAAGAAAAAACGAAAGTTTCTCCTTTTACATTTAGTAATATATACAGAAGGGGTTACTAGCCCCTTGCTCCCGGCATTTTAGTCGCCTCTTACAACACGCATGGCTTACGGAGGAAGACTTCTGTTCCACTTCCCCATGGAGGTAAGAGGAAATAAACAAGAACAAGAACTAGAAAGAAAATAGAAGAAAACCCAAAGGGGTGTGTATATATATGCTTGTACATGTATGTGTAGTGTGACCTAAGTGTAAGTAGAAGTAGCAAGACGTACCTGAAATCTTGCAACACACAAACTTACTTGTATATATATGTATTATGTTGTTAAATGCTAACAATGTACCAGACGGTACTTAAAAGCCATAAAGATGTGATATGTGCCTTCAGCACACTACTACTGTACACGAGAGAAGTATAGGTACTTGTATCCTATGTTGTATTCAATCGATTAATTTACTTCGATATTATATGCCTAGACAACTTTATTGTTATTAATAAACTTATTAAATTTTAATTTCTTTAGTTAGTAGCCTACCAGTTATGATCCTGAAGCATTATTGAATCTTAATAAATTCTAATGGATAACTGGACCAGGATACTGACTACTTGTTACAAAAACCCAGTAACAGGCTGGATGCTAGAAGGGCAGTCCTTTCTAGTATTCACTGGAGATCTCTATCATTACTAGATATCGCGTTTTTTGTAACACACCTATGCAAGGCGTCCTGGCAGGAGGTGGGCTAACACAAGGCACCAGCCAAAATACGGAGAAAAATTTCTGCCCAAAAACAGGCCTAAATACGATTCGGCCGATAGACGCAGCAACTGATATTCAGGATTCCACTGTACTTTCAAATTGTACTGTATGACTCAAGAATTTGGCAAGTTTTCAAATATAATAAGGGCCATAAAGTATTGCAGGGGTAAGATGTGCTAAAGATGTGTTTGAGGGGACCATAATATTAGAGGGAAAAATTGCTGTGTAGCCTTTGACTGAACTTTGTATAGAAAGAGGTTTGCTTATAAGCAACCATTGAGAGAGAGGTGAGCTAGTGAGAGTATAAGTAGTGAGGGGGTTGAAGATGGTGGGCTAGTTTTTTAAAAATACAAGTGTGGGGCATAAGTTTGTGGGTATAGGAGGGTGGGTGCGGGAAGAAAGAAGAGTGGTGGAATGATGAAGTAAAGGGTGTGATAAGCAGTGGCAGCTCATGTATAAGCACTACAGCACCCCCTATTTTCATTTGATAACATTCAATATAATGACTTTTTCTTTCTTTCTTTATACTTGTACATTATATAATCCTTAAGTTTAATGTCAGTAGCCATCCCCTAGTAGTACATGATTATTATAATCAAAAGAAGCTCTAAACCGCAAAGGTTATACAGTGCAGCCCTAGTACATGAAAAAATTACAAAAATCCTTGTATGGAACTGTGCGCTTCACATTCCAACAACTCGATGTTTGGCTTGTGTGCACATGAGCACATGTCCGAGATGAGATGCTGCACGCTAGATAGAAAGAGCACTGTCGCTGACGCAGTGTGGGGTAGGCACGTGAGGCATTGGGTAGAATGAAAGGAGGTAAAGCAGCTGGAATTGATGGGGTCATGACAGAAATGTTAAAAACAGGTGGGGATACAGTTTTGGAGTGGTTGTTACTCTTGTTCAATAAATGTATGAAAGAGGGGAAGTACCTATGACTGGTAGAGAGCATGCACAGTTCTTTATATAAAGAGAAGGGGTACAGAAAGTGTAAAAATTATAGGAGAATAAGCGTACTAAGTATACCAGGTTAAAAGTATTGAAAGAAATAGGGGTAAGATGGAGAGCAGGATTGCAGATGAATAAGGAGGCTTTAGAATGGGTAGGGGATGTGTAGACCAAGTGAAGCATACAAGTAAACAGTATTTAGATAAAGATAGGGAAGTATTCGTTACTTTCATGGATAGAGAAAAGGCATATGATAGAGAAGCTATGTGGCAGACTATGAAAGTGTATGGAAAATTTAAGTTATTAAATGTGGTAAGTTTTTATGATATGCTCAGGTTGGAGAGAGAGAGATTTCCAGTAAAAGTAGGCCTTAGACAGGGATGCATGTTGTCACCATGGTTGTTTAGCATATTTATAAATGGGGTTGTAAAAGAAGTAAATGCTAGGGTGTTGGGGAGAGGAGTGGGATTAAATTATGCAAAATCAAATACAAAATGGGAGTTGACTTGTTTTTTTTTTCATGGTGATACTGTGCTTATGGGAGAGCCTGAAAGAGAAGTTGCAAAGGTTAGTGGACAAGTTTGGGTGTGTGTGTGTAAAGGAAGGAAGTTGAAAGTGAACATAGGTAAGAGTAAGGTGATGAGGGTATCAAACAAGTTAGGTAAGGAAAAACTGGATTTCAGATAGGAGGGATTATGGAAGAAGTGAATGTGTTTAGATATTTGGGAATGGACATGTTGGCAGATGGGTATATGAAGGATGAGGTAAACCATAGAAATAGTGAAGGAAAAAAGGTGGGTGGTGCATTGAGGTATCTGTGAAGAAAGAACATTATCCATGGAGGCAAAAAAAAGGGAATGTACCAACACACTTATATGGGTGTGAAGATTGTCTCTAAAGGCAATGTGTGGCATAAATATTATATAGAGAGAATTCGTAGTGTGGAAATTAAGAGAAGGTGCAGAATTACTAAAAGTATTATTCAGAGGGTTGAGGTGGCCTGGTCATTTAGAGAAGATGGAGCAAAGTAGGATGACTTGGAGGGTGTATGTTGTGGAGGGAAGGCAGGGAAAGTCATCCTATTATTATAAAAAATGAAATGCTAAACCTACAAGGGTCATACAGCGCAGCGGGGCAGGGAAGAATACAGGAGAATTGGGTAGCAAGAGAGGTATTATTAGGGTCATACAATGCAGGGTGAAGGGTCATCCTAGGAAAGGATGGAGGGAGGGGGGGTCAAGGTGGTTTTGTGTACAAGGAGCTAAGAAGTACAGTAGGCATGTATGAGTGAGTTAGATAAGAGCGAGTGGAGAGAAATGGTCTTTGAGACTTGACAAGCTGTTGGAGTATGAGCTGGATAATATTTTGTGAAGGGATTCAGGGAAACTGGTAAATACCTATAGTAAGGTAGGTGTGCATTCTAAAACTTAACTTTTCCAAAATAATTTTTAGGAGTAAATGTTCCTTAGAGCAGTGACTCATTCACCTACATATTGTTTGGCCGTCTTTCTGCCCCTCAGTGGAGGTTCCTAAATGTCACTGAGCACTTGATCCAAGAAATAGGACTTAACCTTTCCTTGAATCAGACCTGATTGACTCCTACCATATCCTCCCCACACAGTTCTCCATGAATATAATGTAGCCATTTTTCCAGAAGGGCATATACATCACAGTTCAGATGAGCCCCTGAACTGCAACCTCTACACCCAGCCTGTTTGGGAACATTGCATAGACTTTAATCTCCATTTTGACTTTTTTTTTTTTTTTTTTAAAGTTGGCCATCTCCCATTGAAGCAGGGTGACACCCCCCCCCCCCCATAAAAAAATTTCACCATCATTCAACACAAAATCACTGTCTTTGCACAGGTGCCCTGATAAGACAGTTTAGATGTCACTCCAAACAGCCAATATCCCAAACCCAAGTGCAGGTATTGCACTTCCCACCTTCAGGACTCCAAGTCCAGTTAACCAGTTTCCCTTAATCCCTTCACAAAATATTACCCTGCTCACACTCCAACAGTTCGTCAGGTCCCAAAAGCCATTCATCTCCATTCACTCCTATCTAACACACTCGCACATGCCTGCTGCACATATAGGCCCCTTGCACACAACTTTTCACCCCATCCTTTCCTAGTATGACCCCTACCATTCCTCCCCTCCACTACAGATTTATACACCCTCCAAGTCTACCTATTTTAGTCCATCCTCTTTAAATGACCAAACCATCTCAATAACCCCTCTTCAGTCCCATTGTATTGCTATATTCATGGTGGGGAGGGAAGAGCACTAACATGTAGGGATCATACAACACCTGTGGGCACGGAAGGCATTTAGGTTCGATCCAAGGAAGTAGAGGGTTGGTCCAATTTCTTATCAAAATTCCCTCACCAGTGTCAACTCAAGAGTTCATGCTGGCGGGGGCTCTTGATCTAAGGAAATGAACCTGTACTTGCCTGGATTAAGCCAGATTACCACACTCCTTCAGGTACTATATATCTCCTACATATTAATACTGTACTTCCTCCTAAATATGACTAGCATTGACAAACCTCCTTTGAGGGAAGTCCTCATTTTTAGACATGTGCATGTACTAGCTTTATGCCACAGTGAGATTGGTGTACTGATATCATGAACTGTAGTTTAGACTTCAATGGTTCATTTTTACATCAGTGAAAATATAGCTATCATTGCTTACTATTATTACCAATATCATACTTGGGAAATGAAACGACTTTCCAACTGGTGGGAAGTTTTTTCTTTTTTCCTAATTTTCCAGCATTAGCAGCTTTGAAAAACTGTACATAGAATGTAAGCATATTGTTCCATCCTTTAATCTTGCTCAAAAACATTAGGATATAATTCCTGCTGTCAACTCTTACATTTTTATACTCCATGAATAAATAATATAATTAGAAATGTATTGAAAAATGGAAGTAATATTGCACATCTGTTAGTTAAATACTAGCCTGCAAGATACTGACACTAAGTAAGGAAATATAAAAACTGGGGTTATGAAAGATTATCTTTTACATACATGTATGAACATTCTTACCCAAATTAGCGTCTGGGATACCATCTACCCAATATTTACGCTTCCAGAATACTGCTCGTTATATTTAGGGGGAAGTGCTAAACCCATCAGGGTCATACAGCACTTGGGGAATAAGGCAACTGAGTTCAATCCAAGGAAGGGGAGAGGTCCAGTTGCTTGGATCAAGAACCCTGTCACCAGCATCAAGGCACCTCCCCTGAGGGGAATATTACTATAGTATAATCAAGTTACCCAGATATAAAACATATATTGAATATAATAGAAACTGTCAGGTGAAAAGTCTATTGGAAATCACTGAACTTGAATAAGAGCAACAAATTGTCTTGTATAAACTTTCTTCATAAAATAGACAAAATATTCTTAAAATAATTTGTGAACTTAGTTATTCTTTGAGACCAGGTTAATATAGGTTTATGATTTACTAAAAATAAGTTTCCATGACAGCCAATAATTATTGAAAAAGAATTAAAAACTTTGAGACTTGCAGATATTTAAATATTTTACTGGCAAAGTACTTTATAAAAAATACTGACTTTTCATCTAATTATATTGTCATGATATATTTGTATAAAAACAGGAAGATTAAATAAATGTCACACTTCTGATCTTTAAACAGTTATATACACTATTATATTCACAAAAAAAAGTACTAAACCCATATGGATTGCACATCACTAGCTTATATATACTGTAGTTTTGCTTTGACCAAATTTAAATAACTGCATTCCTCATTACAGCCTAATCACTTTTGGCCTGGTATAAAATGTGGCAATTAAAATGATTAAAATATTCATTACTAGCATTTTGTCTTTGTAATGGGTTGCATTTTGTGATTAAAGAAGAAATGTGGTAAATTACAGGCAAATTTGATTAAGATATTTCTGAATACAAATAAGCAAAAACCCATTTTAGTATCTACCCTTTATTGCATACCAGGTATACTGTATTATTAAAAAAAAAAAAATTATGGTGTGATAAACTTATCAAAGCATTATTATTGACAATTTACAATTTTACAATAATCAAGACATGTGGTATACACCATCTTGATGACTTCAATGAAAAATTTTCAAGACTAAGTAAAAAAAAAAAAATTTTTAATATTAATTTACAAACTGAAAAGACTTGCACCTACCACATTACCTATTTGTAAACATCATATTCTATATTCCACAACTGATCATAAACTGGAGCTGAAAATTGGATAATGTTTCCCTCTCATGGGGTATTCACTCAGCTCTGCTGTACTGACAACTTGCAAGAACACAGGAGCAAGATGGAATCTATTGATGAGCAACTTGCTAGCAGTTTTGCTCAGGTATTTGACCCAAAGATTTCTGTCAGTGACATTACAGTGTAAACCTGACTTTGTGCAGATGATTTATTTTCAGTTCATCCGTGATTTTGGAGCCAACTTGGCGCAGATTAATCTGATCCTGTTTGATGTATGCATGTGATTCAATACAGCAACATCAGATGTTCCTGAGTGTGATGAGGATAATGGCTTTTACTAAGGTCATCAGAATGATTCTCAGCTATACAGTGGTACCTTGACTTACGAGTTCTCAAAGTTACGAGCTGTCGCTCGGTCGATTTTTTCTTTGAGTTGCGAGCCAAAATCCAAGTTACGAGCAAAAAAAAAAAATTACTGAAAATGACATTTGGCAAGAATTCCTGCCTAAATGGCACAACGAAAGGTGGTTTTGGGACTTGGTACTTAGAAAACATAAGAACATAAGAAAGGAGAAACACTGCAGGAGGCCTGTTGGCCCATACTATGCAGGTCCTTTACAATTCATCCCACTAACAAAACATTTGCCCAACCCAATTTTCAATGCAACCCAAGAAACAATGCTAGTGCGGCGTTCACACTGGAGATAATCGTGTAATTATCATTAGTTATTCTACAAAAAAATAAAGTTACTAAGTTTTTGACATTTGCAAAATATCTTGCCCTTTACTCCCAAACAAATTCCAAAATATTTTGAATATTTCCAATATTCCACAAGCCAATTGTAAAACAATCATTTTTTTCATGATTCCTGTCAATATTATTGCATTTACTTCAATAATAAATGGTGGGATTCATGAAATAAGTCAATAATTTACTTCCAAGATATTCATGTATTACTGCACTAGTGATCTAGTGCAGTTAGCCTCATTATTATTATAATAAAAAAGAAGTGCTAAGCCACAAGGACTATACAGCAGTTAGCCTCTCAAAAACTCAGTTTTCTCTTACCCAGGATCAAAGAACATGTTATAGAAGAGAGCAGTAATGATTTTATATGCTCAGACTGGTTCTTGACACAACATATTATGGCCTATTTTATTCATTCTAGAGTATATATCATGTTTCTGTTACGTATGTCATGTTCAGTCAATACTGATACATAAACAAGCTGTAGGGTTATTATTGTTATTATATTGAAGTATTTTCTCCTGTCCCTGGGGTGGTTTTTGGAGGGCTGGAACAGATTAATGGGATTTCAATTAATTTCAACGAGGAAAATTTATTTGACATACGAGCAAATTGAGTTATGAGCTCGGTCACGAAACGAATTAAACTCTTAAGTCAGGGTACCACTGTATATATGATGGTGATTCCTTTGAGTCTGCTGATCTTATTAATCCCAAACCAGAGAAAACCAAAAGGTTTTTTGAGTAATTGCAGAATTTTACTATAAATTAAATGACTACTCTGAAAACATTGCCAGTATTCAGACAGACACAGACAATAAGGAAGCTAAATGTCAGATGTTCACCAAGATCCAGAAATCTAAAAAGAAAATTCTTCAACTGAAACTGGCAAGTGCTGAAAAACAAATCTGCGAGGAAAAAGAACTGGAACATATAATGAAGATGCAGTCTCAGCTGAAAGAGACTCAAGATACCAAGATCAGCCTGGAGGGTAAGCTGGAGAACCTGAAGATGGAGATGTATACCATGGGGGAGTGCTAAACCCATAGGATTATATAGCATACGTTGGGGGGAATGGAAGGTATTCAGGCTCAATTCAGGGAACTGGAGCACAGATCCAATTCCCTAGATCAAGAGCCCCTCACCAGCATCAAGGAACCTCCCTTGAGGGGTGAAGATGGAGAGCTCTACCCTAGTGATGCACATCAAGGATCTTGAGCTCATGATTTTTGAGGCTGATAAAAAAAAATTGAGAAGCTTTGCAGTCAGGTAGTGCAGGCCAATGTCGAGAAATTAAAGTGGAAGGTGCAGCAGCTGTGGCTGCAGTCAGCCTCCAAAGATATAAAGAAAGCCAAGATAATGCATGCTTTTAGCTGCTCTTACCTTTACTATAAGAACTTTGACACGGTGCTTAGCATCTCTTCCAGCCCTTTTCTCCCCTCACCTCTAATTCCCACTCCACCTAGCTGTTTATAGCCCCCCGCACTATTTTCTGCTTCGCAGCATTGCGTGACCCTCGGCGGTTTAGGCTTTATTTGATTATAATAATTCTCTCTTGTGGACCATTATAAAGTTGTGAGCACAAAGTGGCCCAAATAATCTAGCACTTTTTTTTGTGAATGTAATTCAAAAACAATAATAATGGTCCAGGATGGTTAGAAACACTGTTCAATTTTCATCTCCAATTTGTCAGTTTCCACAGTTGTGAAATGTTACAACCATGGTATTGTGATTTATTCTACACACCAGCTAGCACAGCTGCACAACAAAAAAAAATGTACCCCTATCCACTTCGTATGGTCCATTCCTGGATCAGGCAGCAAAGAGCTAAGGACAAAATTTACTGCCTTGATTGACTATCTATTTGCAGAATGAAAGGCTCTAGCCAAGAGGAGAGCAAAGGCAGCAATGGCAGCCACACCCAAGCCAACTTTCAGCCAGGTACTATGTTCACCTACAACCACACCTAGCTGCTTCAAGTGTCTGCAACACAAAAAAATATTATTATTTGTAAAATAATGTATGACTACCACTGTTCACGGTTACTGTAAACCCTGCATTAATTTAGTTTTATATAATTAATATATAATATATGGGGTAACAAGGAAGTCTTAAGTTGGCATAAGTCAGCTTTAGTTAAAAAGACAGTGTGGTTGCATTGATAGTTATATTATAATTAGAGGAAACACGAAACCCATAGGAAAAGGAAAAAGGAAAACTGTAGGAAATGAATTCCACATGCTCTTCAATAAATGGTAGAATAAAGTGGTGTTTGACTGTCAACAAGACTTGACAATTTTACAGAGAAGCACCAACAAGTGGCCACATAAGAACCCTTTTCCAAACATGATAGTGACGTAAAGAAGTCTACCAAGAACTAGACTGTGGTTTGACCCAGACCACTTGTGCTACCATCGATCTCAAATGCTCCGAAATAAAACTAAAATGAAAAGGGCAGATCTCTGAGACTGATAGGAATGTGCAGTCTATGAATTCATTATACTGAACACCAGAATGACTAGGAGCCCACAATCAACAAAATGCCAGGAATCCAAGCTTTGAAGAGCCTGCAATGTTTTTAGAGTTTACAACCAAACAAGAAGTATGATAAAAAAAGTGTGGATGGCTGCAAAACATGCTTATAACTCGACATGAAAATACTAGTCAAATTCAGTAAGTGTTCCTGTATCACATAACTGTATACGAAAAAACTGCTGCATACATCACACCTCAATAGAATTTAGAGCCATAGTATACATACTGGTAGCATACAAGTAGAATTAAAAATGCTAGAGGATGAGGGAAAGCATGTCCACAGGAGAGAGGAGAGACTGGAAAGGAAAGAAAGCAGGGACATCCTTAATCATTGGTACTTCCCAAGGTGGAATGAAGACACAAATGAACACCGAGAATAATAATAGCTATTAGATTGAAAGAAGAAACCTAAAGGTAGATATTAGAGGAAATAAAGGAAGCTGATTGAAAGTGCCAGCTTTACTAATACCTGTAATTATTTTATAGCTTTCAGGGACATTAATATCATGAAAGCAAACAAGATAATGCTGACAATTAGCATCTCAATGGTTCTTGCAATGAAGAAACATCAGACTTGTATACAGGCTTCAGAATGGGAATGAACGAAAGGCTGACACACAACAATCCTTGATGGTGAATGACATCGAACTTGGAAAGAACAGCTTTTGAAGGAGATGAATACACCTGAGCCTCATAATCAGTTTAGAAAGAACCAAGGCCATATGAAGTCTAACAACTCTCCTAATGGGTTAAACAGAACAAAATTTTAAGTAAATTCAACTTGTTAAGATGTGCGGCCTCCAGGACTAGCACATGCAATTTCTGATGTATCCTACAAGTGAGGCCATGAAATTTAACAATGACATACCAGAATAGGGAAAAGCAAACAGGAGAGGTATAAAATGGGGAATGACAGGGCACTGAGTGACTATTATCCAAGTTTGTTTTGGATACTGAAACCTGGAAGCATTGTGCCATAGCCCAGCTGCAAGTAGTTTAAGATGAATACTTGCCCAATGCTTCTGCCAGTACAAGTAAAGGCAAAATCATTCACATACAGAAGACAAAATTCCCCGAACCATTAATAGCAGGCACTAAAGTGTCAATCTGTCATGAAGCTCTTGAGAAAAGTGGTAGTTGGCTTTGCTGGCCAAAAGAATGGATCTGGAATATGTGATATCACCAGTGTGAAAACACTTTTCAAAGTCTAAAAAGACTACCACCACATACTGACCTTCGGCAAGTGCTGTGAATACGTATCTAGTTGGAGTAGAATATACGTATTTAGCTGCAGTAGAGGATCAACAATGAAATGGCCTTTTTTTTTTTTATCCAAAATTATTTGGAGATACACATCTATATGTTTAAAGTACAACACTGAAAACCTGCTTTTGTCAATTTGCAAATGGGACTAGTAAGAAGTATGGGTTTATAGTGGGATGGATCACAGCCAAACATACCTGGTTATCAAACAGTTAAGACAACAGCAGATTTCCACTGCAGGGGTAACACTCCTGCAGGCCAAGCATGTTTGAAGAGGGATAATAATAGGTATTATTCTTTCTCTTCTTCCAATGGGTTTACTTGTCCAACTAGGAACCTGATTTGGCACATAAGGCCCCTCAAGATTATATAAGTATTTAGAGATTATATAAGTATTTTGACAACCAGGAAATAGTCACTATATCAGTATAATATCAAATCACTTTTCTATAGCAGATACAGCACTGTATAACCCTGGTGAGTTTAGTGCTTAGTTTTAATTATAATAATAATCTATAGCAGATATATGCCATTGCTTGTACTTTTATATACCATAATATATTAATTTATATTTCTCAATATATATATATATATATATATATATATATATATATATATATATATATATATATATATATATATATATATATATATAACACACACACACACACACACACACACACACACACACACACACACACACACACACACACACACACACACACACACACACACACACACACACACACTCACACTCACACTCACACTCACACTCACACTCACACTCTAACAACAATGTTCATTTAATGATTCAAACAAAAATTTGAAATTTTATAAAAATCTAATGCATATTTACATAGTGCATGCATTAAAATTTGCACTGGTGTATTATACATACATGCAGATATCAAAGCTAACTCGACAAATATACAGTGGAACCTCTACTCTCTACAAAAGTGCATTCCTGACTGGATAGCTTGTTTTCATGAAGTGCTCTCTCTTCACCAAAATTAGTCTTGTAGCATAGAACAAGATAGTCATAAATTTATATGAATAAAAATTTTTAATACTCTATTATACAGTATTAAAAACAATAATACTTGGCAAATTAGTATGCAACGTTGTGTGCAAATGTGGAGGGTGAAAGAGGGAGACAGTCTAACAAAACTAGGCACCCAGAAAAACAATGGGGCTATGGCTTGAGGGGGAGGTGATTAATGTTTAACATACTTGGCCCTTTTGTTCTTGCACAAGTTGATTTCCATGAAGGCAGGACAACTCAAAGGAAATGTTATCACCATCAATCATTAACATTTCCTCAAGTGTACTGATATAACAATTCAAATGACCCTCCCAACTGCAAGATTCCTATCCACCTTTCAGAGTCCAGGTACTCGAAACTGAACTGTTTTGGATTCTTTTACATTCTGAATCATTTGGGATAAAAGTGAAAATTTGTAAAGCATTAAGGTTATAATTATCGTATTAAAAACATAGCCTTCATTAATAATATTGCTGAAGGAAAACTTTACTCAATATTTATAAAAAATATAACTGTCAGAAGTATGGCACAATTCGGAGAGAAACAGAGATAGAGATAGAGGGAGAGACAGAGATAGATACAGAGAGAGATATAGATAGAGAGAGAGGGGGGGGGGGGGAATAGCAAGCTATGTGTGAGGTGTGCATGCCATATCCTCAGTTTACAGAGAATCATCTTTTCTAAAATTTGGCACTATCCAGGCTGTGACAGGTAGGAACCCAAGCACTATGCAGCACTCCTCTGCTGATGAAAATCTGAAATTTACACTCTTGCTCTTACCAATGATGCAACAGTGTTTGCATATTATAGGTTTCTCATTAGTTAAATGGTAGATAGTAGAAGTGCCACTGCATTTTTCATGGAAACTAATTATTAGTTTACATCCTCAAATAATTATATAATGGCCTAAATTTTGGCCAGAACATTAATCTTGGCAGCATTCAGCTTTAAAATTTAAAAAAAAAAAAATATTCATGGCATCATTACACAAATAGCGTCATTAAACTCGGGTAAATTACTGCTGAAATTCATGCAATCATGCAAAACAAAATCTCAGAGAAATCGAATAAACTAGAACAGTCTCTTTACCCTGGTTTAGTGTTTACAACTATGTACATTAGAGTGAAGAATGTACATCTTTAAGATAAATAATTTACTTATTTTTGTTTTGATAGTGCCATCAATCCACCAGTTACTGAACACACTCAGATGAAAACTAACCAGTAAATAAGTACAGTGGACCCCCGGTTTACGACATTATTTCATTCCAGAAGTATGTTCAGGTGCCAGTACTGACCGAATTTGTTCCCATAAGGAATATTGTGAATTAGATTAGTCCATTTCAGACCCCCAAACATAAACATACAAACGCACTTACATAAATACACTTACATAATTGGTCGCATTGGGAGCTGATCGCAAACCGGGGATCCACTGTATTTCAATTTAATTAACACACTGGCTGTTTCCCACTGAGGTAGGGGGACCCGAAAAAAAAGAAACACTTTTTCATCATCACTTCCACAACACAGGTCTGACTGACCGGTTTCCCTGAATCCCTTTATAAATGTTACTTCGTTCACACTCCAACAGCACTTCAAATCTTTATAAAAACCCTTTGCCTCCACTCGCTCCTATATAACGTGCTCGCACACGCTTGCTAGAATAGAAGTCCAAGCCCCTTCCACAAAATAACCTCCTTTATCTTCTCCCGCCAACCTTTCCTAGGATGACCAATGCCCTGCCTTCCTTCCACTACAGATTTATATGCCCACCAAGTCATTCTATTTTGTTCCATCCTCTCTAAATGTCTGAACCACATCAACAACCCCTCTTCAGCCCTCTGGATAATATGTTTAGAAACCCCACACCTAATCTCCAAGCTATGGATTCTCTGCATAATATTCATACCACACACTGCCCTCAGGAACATCTTCACTGCCTCCAGCCTTCTCCTTGCTGTAACATTCACCACCCATGCTTCACATCCATATGAGAGCATTGGTACCACTATACTCTCATACATTTCCCTCTTTGCTTCATTGGATAACATTCTTTGTCTCTACAGACTCCTCAGTGCACCACTCAATTTTTTCCCCACATCAATTCTATGGTTTACCTTGTCTTTTATAGACTCATCTGC